AAGAGTGATTAGAATAATGGGAAGAGTTGGTCGCCATGCAAAAGCTCCTTTAGCAACATCAAAAAGCATTAGTTTCCTTCTAACTCTCTCTCGAAAGAGAAAAAGAATGGGAAAAAAAACAAAATTAAATCTATCACAAATTCACAATAGGGCGTATATAGCTCAAAAAGGGAATTTAGTTTTTTCTTTTTTACTTGCACAAAGTGATATTTAGAGAGATTCTTCTTGACTTGCATGGCTTTGTTGTTGGTTCTTTTCAAATATACTAAAAAGAAAGCAAATTTTAAATAAAAATCACCCTTTAAAAGATACTACTACATTAAAAGTAGAGAACAACAAGACCAATCTTTCTTTCATTGTCTTTTCTTCCCTTCCTTTCTTTTCTTCTTTTACCCTTTTGTTTTATTTTCTTTCTTTTCCTCCACTTTCTTCATCGCCTTTTTCTCCAAAAAAAAAAAAAAAAAAACGTTGAGAAGACACTTTCATGTTAAGGAAACTAATTTATTTTATTATCCCGTCGTTTGAACTTTCATTACAATCAGTTTATGTAAAACGTATAAATATTAACATACTGTTTCAATTCTTTAAAAAAAATAATTAAAAAAATCTGTCTATTTAACAAAGTTTTTGAACCTCTACATTCATTATCACATACAATCGTTAGTTGTTTGTACATATACAATGTTACATATCAATGTTGGTGTCCTCGGTATTTAGTTGTGGTATCATGAACATCTTTTCCAACTATATATATATATATATATATATATATATGTGTGTGTGTGTGTGTCGTTTAAAATATATTACATGCGCGTTTATTACAATTTATACTTTAAGTACCATAAAAAGTAGGATAAATTCAACATTTTAACCGAACTAACAATGTAGCTAGTTAGGTAAATGCATGATTATTCTTGAAATTGGACCCATAATTCCTGGAAGATGGGCCAACATATAAAAGTTTGAACAACGTCAAAACTATAAAACATCTATCTATACATACGACATGACCTCAAAAACATGATTAAACGTAAAAGTAACACTAAGCCACCGAATGTCAAAAAGGACAGAGAGAATGGTAGGTTTAAAATTTGATTTGTAATCTATATTTTTTCTTTTTTGGGTTAGAAGAGGGGAACATAAAGGCTGTTGGATCACATGCATATCACCTTCTTCTCTTCTTTTTCTTCTTCTTCCTTCTCTTCTTTTTATATACTGTGGTTGATAATCGTTAAAGAAGAAAGAAGAAAGAAAAAAAGGTCGCAATTAGAAGGTTAGGGTCCCATCTTTTCACCCAAGGCTGCTGCTCCGACTACTCTAACACACTATTACACCAATATTTCTTTGCTCGATCGACATGCATGAGATTAGTTTTGCGTCTCTCTTGTTAATTACAACAATCAACCCCGATTTTCATGGAAATTTTGTAGTTCGTCGACCCTTCAATTTTTTAGAAATTAAATTTACGTCTAGCTAAAAGTCTACCATATACTCACAAATTGTCGTAAAATTAGTGAAACTTATTGATTTACATTTGGAAGGCGTGAATGTTCAACAATAATAACTTTTTTTTTTATTAAAAGTCCCAAACCAAACTACATTTCCCGTTGAATGATTATATTCACAATTTTCGTGATATCCAACACCCCTCATTATTTAACAGTTTTAGGTGAACATAAATTTTTTAGTAATTTAAACATTCTCAAATCGAAGTTTTTCTTGTAATCTTTCCGATTTGAGGGAGGTCTAAGTAATTAAACCTAAATTCTTTCATCCCTTTCGTCATTCCTCAATCCAAGGTATCATTCCAATGTGATGATCAAAAAAACCTGAAAAGGGTCCCTCCATCATCTTCATGATCATCATTTCATGCATAGTAAGTCCCACCTCTTCTTACGTCCATTACTCACAAAGCATGCTTAAAAAAGGGGGAATATTTTTCGGGGTTTCCCTCGTGACATCCAATTATTAAAATGTTTGATACTCTGAATTAGTATAATTTTGATTGGGGTAATGAATATCTCATCATAGGTTAAAAAAAATATGCGATCGAATTTTAGCAGCCGTTGATTGGGTATTTATTGATCGGTGTATCGATTTTGGGGAAAGTGCAAAGTTACTGAATCATTTGCGAAATTATGCCCTCCTTTTGCGTTTTCATTTTCTTTTATTCTTGTTATCATTTTTACGCCCTTTTAGTTTACCTTAAATAATATCCAGTTGAAAATCTTCTGAATTATTTCGTCGGTGGTGGAATTTTCAATTTAATCTCTCCCAAATATATTCAAGAAAAAATGCATGAATCTCAGAGTTTTTAAATTATGTTTTTTCGGCGGAATGGTGTCAAGAAAAAATATAAAGTATTCAAATAAAAGAAGTGCATGCAGGCCATGCAATGTGTATATATTTAAATACGTTTTTGAAACTCAACCAATTTGCATGTAGGGCATGCAATATATACACACACAAATATATATATATATATATAAGAAATTGTGCAAGATACTCTGATATAGTCCACCATGAGGAGTAATATCATGATTAGAACAAAATGTATTTTGGATTGCATATTCTCGAAACGTTCAATTATAGGCAGTTGCCTCCACTTATTATAGCAAAAAAAAAAAAGCCCCTTCAAATCCACAATTCCACATTGCGGAGAGGAAACTTGTTACTGTTAGGGAAGATTAATAGGTTTTACCTTCTATTTGGAATATTCTCCACCAAAACAATTATTATGAAATCAAAACTAGTAATTACCCCGATCAAATGTTATTCTTGGAATATTTTCAAACTGAATTTCTCAAGTCTTTCTAGGAAAGCCAAAGGGAGAAAGATGCAAAATGATTAGTTTTCAGGTGCTTCTTACCTTGCTTTCTCCAGACACATTATGTTAGTTTTAGGTACTTACTTTGAAGCCCATCATTAGGGTTAAAAACGGCCTTAGAATCACCATTCGTAATTTATACTACCCCTTTAATTATTGCTGCATGTGATTCATTTCATATGTACTTAATAGAAAGATAACTTGAGAAGCAAGTTTTGATATACGAAAACGTAGAACTAGTCATAGTAACTAGAAAATGTGACAAAGAAACGTTTGCATCTACATGAAGAAAGCAATAAGGTTGATGATGAAGATGGGTGAACTTTAACCTAATCATGCCTTAGAAAGTGATGACAAAGAGGAAAGTGAATATGCTTCAAACCATGATTATATCTCTCACTAACTAGTTGCGCTTGCTTGCTGTTACTTAACAAAAAAAAAAAAAAAAAAAAAAAACCCTTGAAATTATTACGATTATTATTCCATCTTCCACTTACACCTCCGACCGCATTTTTATCCATCTTAAAGCTCCCCCGCCTAACCCAGCCAGACCGATGAATCTCTGCTTGTCCTTTCAAAACTTTAGAAAAGGGCATCCCATATCTACACTGTAAAGGAAATTTATCAACAGTGATTAAACAGGACGTACGTCAATTTTGCATACCCTGGTTAAACGATCCCTGTCTAGGGTTACACCGTGGTTAGAGTGTAATTTAATCCGAGTTTTCAAGTAGTTGCTTGATTCATTGTACTCATTATATTCCAAAATGATAGTATTGTTTGTATTTTTATTTTTAGTTTAACTCGTATAAGAATTAGAAGTATAAAATAGACCATTACTTCAGAACGGAGTGATTATAGAGAAAGGGACATACATAGAGGGCCTTGAATTGTTTTGTTGTAAAAGAAAAAAGAAAAGAACTATGGACCTGACACTAATTAAATTTCATGGTGAAATTAGTGGATTAGGACTTGATCCTTCGTTTCTTGGATAGCCAATGGATTATGATTTCTTAAGAAAAGAACTTAAGAGAGCTAATTAATAGGCCCATGCGTTTCGGTTTATATATGGATTGGCTATAGGGTCCTTTGTTGTCCAAAATGATTTCAGTCGCTATATTTCTCTCTTCATGTTTGTGAACGTTCACGTAGCTCACGTTAATTACTGTATTTCTTTTAACACCTAAAAATGGGGTTTACTGGATAGCTGCTCAGTCTTTTTGAACTTAAGATTGAGTCTATATGGATGGATCTTGATGAGGTGATAGAAAGGAAATCCTCCAAATAATATTCCCTAGCTATAAGGCTGGCTTCAAAGTTCAAAGCTGTTTTTTCAGCCCCCCTTTTTTCCTTTTCTTTTTCCCCTCTGGTTTCTAGTGTGTGTGTGTGTGTGTGTGTGTGTGAAGTAGTGGGGTATTTAGCCTTCTAAACTTCCACTTTGTATGTCTTTTTCAGCCATACATGCATGGCCAGGGGGAGATGTTTTCTTTTGGTTGGCAAATGTGGGTTTTGTTCTGGAACCCAAACAACATTACAACAACTTATATATGCGATTTTTATACTCTCTCTGCGCCAAAGTTACACTCTACTTCCCTTTCATCATTATCTGACCTTCTTTTCTCTCTATAGGTCCAGGGTAAGTACATTCTCTTCTTGATCCCTCAAACACACTTTTGTAACCAAAATCCAAAAATATCCTAATCAATCCACAGTTTCATACTATACCATGATGTACGATAAAATGTACTAAAATGATGAGAGTAATATTCTCATTCGTGTCTAAATCGCGATTTTATAAGTGTAATTTATTTCGGCAATATACTTCTACAATTACTTTATCAAGCGTAGTTGAATCATGATGTTATAAGTATGACTTATTCACGTAATGTATTTCGATAGTTACTTTACAAGCTTGTAATAATAATAATAATAATAATAATAATAATAATAAGCTTCATTATACGGAGAACAATGTAATGTAGAGAAGTGTGAGAGTAATATTCCCAGTCATTGCTGAATCACGTATAGATCATAGATGTGACTTATTCCCCTAATGTACTTCTACAGTTACAAGGCGCAGCTGAATTGTGATATCATAAGTATCACTTACTAACGTCATGTATTTCCACAGTTACTTTATAAGCCAGTTTTTTTCCCTCGTTTTTGCACCCAAAAAAAAAATAATAATAATACTAACAATAATAAGCTTCACTACCCGGAGAACAATGTAATGTAGAGAAGTGTGCGTAGTAAATGATTTGCACATATACATTTGATTGTATCTCGAATGGTAGAGTCAGCTGAAAATAAAATCTTTGCGCTTAATGGCCTTTTATGCACAAAACATTTCTAATTTGTTCTCTTTTTTCTTTTTCCTTTACTCTCCCAGTTGTTCCACCATATGGACATACCTCCTTCGAGGAAACTCCCTTAAATTTTAATATGAAATCACCACAAACTATGTCCTTCACTGAATTTATATGGCGTTTAGTGGCGGCAAATACACTTGTATCCAGTAAATTCCGGGCTTGATGGACAGGTCGGCCATTATCACTATTGAAAAATAATTTTTGGTATTAATTTTATGGTCAATCAAAGCATTCATAAAAAAAAAAAAAAAATGAAATAGTCGAAGTTAAGATTAAGTTGAACTCTTAAGAAAACTCATCAAATTGAATTACTCACAGGTACAATTTTGATATTTTGAGTGGGAAAACTTGGTCATTCCTTGCGTCACAGCAAAACTAACCTGGACCGGTCCCTTTCATTTCATTTATTTAACTGGGCCACAATCACCCATAGAACAATGTAAAGTTACCGGATCAACTGTATCAAAGCCCTCATCAAGTAATCAGGCCCAAATTGGTAGGCCTCACATTGCTAGTTCCTACTGCTAGATTGTTCCTATTATGTTCCCCTTTTGACTTTTTGAAATCCCAGAAAAGCATCACAATTCAGAAGAAACTCCCAAGTCTCCCCATATTCATACTGGAAACAGAACGAAGTAATAATACCAAGATGGAGAATTACCAAATTGTAACTATTTCCCCATATGTGAGATACTAACACTCAATTTGCATAATTAGAAATGAAGAAGAAGATACAAAACCTAAGGGATTTATCTATACAACCAAACGGCTAAAAATGAATCTGTGACATGTCAGAAATCAACAAGGATACAATCACACAACTCTAAGTCAATATCTGAGATATGGAGCAGGGGTGAAGAGAACTAATCCACCTTATATAGTTGAAAACAAAGAATCATCACTGCAATACCAGTAGCTACAAGACAGTAAGCAACCAAAGCATTCCACAGCATTTGAAGTTTCAAAGCTTGCAGAACATATCATACTAAACAAAATCACATAAGCTTTCGGGCTCTATCAGTAAATAGAGAAATGTGAAGGCTGTGTTCACAGCAAAGCACAACGCTTAAGCTGCAACAAAAGTATACGTACACGTGTCAAGTTAATGAGTTCACAGATGCAAGTAAGTGGATATTACATTAGCCTCCTAGTCATATATAAACCTGCATTCCAATTTGCTTAGAGGACTGACACAAGGGACAAAGACTGACCCTACTTTCACATTCTTTACACACACACAGATGTTTACAAGGTAATAAAACCATGCATACTTCTTTGACTCTACACACCTTACAAGTCATCAGCTCCTTCATATCATTGCCATCTTTCCGTAAAAGATGAAAATCAAGAGCCTGGCCGTTGCAACAAGAAGCCGTGTCATCAACCTCACTATCACCACAACCTTCTTTACTATCTCTACTCTGTGCGAATACCTGTTGTATGTTTAGGGTAAGAGTTTTGACCATGTTTTCATTGTATTGAGCACGCTGTTGCCATGCATTTGCCTCTACAGCCAATTGCTCCATTTGCAACTCCAGTTCCATGTTCTTCTTGTTAATGTCTTCCATCTCAGCCTCCTTTTCACGGAGTGTTTGAAGAACTTTTTCTTCAACATATGAGATGGTTTGGAGTTGATTTGTCTGAACCTTATCCATTAAAGCTTGCCTCAGGCGATCACCCTTTCAGAAAATTGCAACTGGTTAAGATCTTTGAGAAAAGAGAAAAGAAATTATGTACTTGGCACTAAAAACAAGGAAATTTATGCTTGCAGTTTGCAGCATAAGTTTTAATTGGAACTGATTTGGAGACAATCATGAGCAAAGCACACTCGACAGCAATAAAAGGAAATCATAAATGAATCTAACTTCTATGTCTGAAATGTGCCACGACAAAGTAAACATCTCCAAATAAGTCCACTTTGACATACGAATTTTGAATTCTATCCGCGCATATAAAACTCTAATTGGCACATTGGCAGTAACTAGTTAAAATGCAAGCACAAAGCAAGCATGGAATCTTAATGTAATGTTCAAGACAAAAATAACTTCCCCTATTCTTCAACATATATGCATCACCAAGAACAGTCACCAGTAAAACGAACCATAACGACCAAAATACTAACTGGAAACAAAAAGCAAACTACTTATCTTAATTTTCCATCAAAGATAAAACTTTATTTTCCCATATTAAGAACCAAACTTGCATCTTTATTATCTGAACTCAAAATTTACCAAAACGCAATCATTTAAATGGCATATATTGGACTTTCAATTTCGCTCTAGAAACTAAAAAAATTAAAAAAAAAAAAAAACCCTGCTGTAGTTACAGAATATACAAATTGTATTAACAAAGAAGCTAACTTTTTGCAAAAAACTTCCAGACTTTCCCAACACACTAATTCTAAAACAGTAATAGAACAGACCTGAATCTTAATGTAGCTATCAATTTCAGCATCTTGCCTCTGGAATTCCCGGTCAATTTCATCCCCCACAATCCCTAAAAATGCAGAGTCACCGGAAGAAGCCAACCAGGCTTTATTACTACTACTGTTGATATTATTGTTAGTATTATCCAGAGATAAACCCAGCCCGGTAGACACTGATCTAGCCTGTAAAAAATCCACAGATGATATCTGTGAATTATTATTGTTAGGGTTATTATCCAGAAAGTCCTGTTCTTTGGGCCTCTTTCTCCTCGGCTCAAAACCATAATTCCACTGCAACTCGGGCCCTCCTACTTGCTCCTCTACCGTTGCTGGAGCTAAACCCACCACTTGAACTGAGAAGGAAACAAATTCAGAATTTTCAGATTAAGTTTTCTAAAATAAAATTTAAACCAAAAAAAAAAGAAAAAAGAAGAAATGATCAATAAGAGGATATATATACTTACAAGGAGGGATGTAAGGGGGGTGATGGGATTGATCAGGGAGGTTAAGACCATTGAAGAAGGTGACCGGCGGTGAAATCTGGGCGTCCATGTTCCCATAAATGTCCCTGAATGACACAAAAAAAAAAGTTCAACAAAATTAAGAAAATGAGCATAATACATTAAATTACTTAACAACGAAAAAGTTGGAAATTTGGAACCCAGAAAAATTCTGACCTCAACGGCGTCGGAGTTGGTTGCTGAAGTTGTTGTTGTGGTTGGAAATGGTGCTGCTGAGGAAAAGCCATAGCTGAGAGAGAGAGAGAGAGAGAGAGAGAGAGAGAGAGAGAAAGAGAGACAAAACAGAGGAAGGAGGGTGGGGGTTGTTTGGGAAATATTCTGGAATTGGTTCGGCCGGACTAAGGAAGATTCGCTTTTCTAATTTGCTGTTGGTCCTTTCATTTTTGAGAAATCCTAGACGTTGTTCTGAACTCTGTTGGGCTGGTTAATAACAGTATTGGGCCTGGGTATTTGGTAAATGGGTACATTTGGATATTTTGTTAGGAGGAAATGACCTTTGGATATTTGATTTTTTTTTTATTATAAAGGCATAATCAACGCCATAGATTTTCAATATTTAGAAGGAAAAAGAAACTTCTTTGGTCAGCTCTCCCATCCATCGAGATGCCTACTATGAGCGAGGGGAATTAGTCACTGTTGTCCACGGTGGACCTGTTTCCCACCCATCGAGGTGCCTACCATGAGCGAGGGGGATTAGTCTCTGTTGTCCACGGTGGACACCCTGCAATATGAGAAAAAAAAAAGAGAGAGAAAAAGAAACTGTAAACTTTTTTTTTTTTTGGGAAAAGGTTAAAATTCGTTATCCACAAGGAAAGTCACTGTACAAGACTATCAGCTTAACTATTACATCAGTTTGTACAAAAAATTCCAATTGATTCTAAGTATCGTGTATCATCACTACTTCCTTTTCTACAATGGATTTGCATTCTCTATTTAATTTTAAATTTTATCGGTCTAAACTTATCATCCACTCCCAAACACAATTGCTTGAATTTGCGGTTGTTCCTCTCAGTCCATATATGATATATGGCAGCACATATTGCAGCAAATAACAACCTTTGCTTTACCTTCATTTGTTTCCAGAATTTAAGCAAGCAGTTAATCCTGTTTTTCAGATATCTCAGTTGAAAATTCACTCCAAACCAATCTTTTAAGTGTCCAATCAGCTGTTGTGAGTTAGAACAGCTGAAAAACAAGTGATTCATATCTTCATTTGGACCTGAACAGAGTTCACTACATATACTTCCTTGCAGTAGTCTCATTTTGCTCAATTTTTCCTGCGTTAACAATTTATCTTTCATTGCCAACTAGCTTATAAAAGTATGTTTAGACAAGCTGTAAGGGTTCCAAATAATCTGAGAGGCTCTATACTTTGGGGATTTACATGCCAGCCAGTTATAACCACTTTTAATGGAGTAAGGTCTTCCTCCATTCTCTGTCCATTTGCCATTCTGTACTGCTGCTTTCAGGTCTTCTTTTATACATATGAGGTTCCGCCAATGTCAGCTACAGTCTTGAGAAAATTAACGAGGGAAAAAATTGTGAAAATTAGTAATAATTGATCATATGTGAAGGAATTGCATTTCTTTTTCCCCTAGGAAGCTCTATTTTTAATAAAATGATAAAGAATAAAATAGAAAGAAGAAGAAGAAGAAAGTTAAAAAAAAAAAAAAAAAAGAAAAAAAAAGCAGCGTCAATCAAGGGAGAGAAATGGAACGTGCCATTCAGATGACAGACAAATTGAGCTACTAGTAGTAGCCGTAGCAGTAGTAATGTTCGGCGCTTGATTTCATAAACTCCATGTGACACCACCTCTCTCTGTTCCCATCCCTCTTCCCTTAATTTCTGACCACCACAAAACACACACACTCACACACTGGAAGAAATCCTCAATTCTCCCAGCATTTGATTTAATTTTAACCATAGCCAAAACAAAGTTCAAGCAATGTCGTCGTGCCCAAAATTCTCTCCAATTATTCTATTTACCACCGTCTCTGTTTACTTCGTTTTCTTCCATTTTGCGCCGAATTCCGTCGTCGTTGACTCGCAGGCTGATCACAGCAGCCTCGAATGGTCTTTTAATGCCACCCCATTTGTATCTTTGGATGAAGAAGCAGAAGAATTCGATTTTGAAGATGGTCATTTTCAGAAACAGAGTACTGAAGATCACGGCGGCACCGGCGACCGGAGGTTGCTTCACTACTACCACAGATCATCAGCTCCGGTCGGGCACCGTTACTACATTTCGTACGGGGCACTTTCGGCGAACAGGGTTCCGTGTCCGCCTCGATCCGGCAGGTCTTATTACACTCACAACTGCCACCAAACCAGCAGCCCTGTCAATCCTTACACCAGAGGATGTTCCAGTATCACCCGTTGCCGGAGATGATTAATTCGCTGCATTATTCCGTCATTTTTTTTTTTTTATTATGTAGCAATGTGAGTCCAGCTGATGGGAGTTTTGGTAATTCATGATCTTGAAACGAAGACGATAATTGTGATTGTTTTGCACTTAGTGCCTTTTTGGTTCAAACATTGATTTGTGACTCTTTGTTCGGTAATATGGTCTACTCCCATGATCTAGTGAGCATGATTTTCGGGCTCTTAATCAGAGTATGCTAACTAATGTATTGATAATTCAAGTGTGACAGTGAGTTGGCATTCATTTTTGGTCTTAAATTAATAATAATAATAAGTTAATAACATGTCTTTTCTCCATTCTAAAATTATGGTCCAGTTTGATTTTCATTTTTAATGCCTATTGAATTAAAAGTAAACTTTCAAATTGGACAATAATTTTAAGACGGAGAATATATAATTTGTATCTCAACAGTCAGCGGATTTTAAAAATGATCGCTTGATCTGTTAGGGGCTCAATTGGGTCTGGAATGTCTTAATAATTAGGCCAATGATTCATTTTCATTGTTGCCTAATTGTTTGAGCCACTAGATTTTACTCCATCCGTCCCATAAAAATAGTCCAGTTTTAAAATGTACAACTTTTTTAATTTAGTCAACTTAGTAAGGTACAACTTATTTTTATTCTATAAACTTCCAATTTTACCCTAATTGAAATTTAATTAGCTAATCCCTGTTACTTTACTTCTCCGGTTTCTCTCTCTCTCTTTCGATCGACCATAGCAACTGCCAGAGACACACCGGACTACTACTCTTCTCATTTCCACCACCAGAACACCAAATCATTACAGTACGGAATTCCCTCTCCTTAGTCCCTTCTAAGAATGGACTGAAAACAGGCCACAATGCCTGAACATTGGCAGAATTTTATCACATATCCCACAAATTGAAATATGTCATTACCAATTTAATCCAAAAAACTAAAAAAGAAAAAAAAAATAATGAGGAATTGAAGATATAAGGATAGGACCGTATTCCTGATAGGAAATCCCAATTTGGAAAAGGATCGAAGATCCCAAACCACAAACCTAGAAATTGCATATTTCTTTTTCTTTTCCCCCTTTAGCCGGAAAACACGTACGATAGATGGTACAAATTCGGAAAATTCTCAAATCTATTTACTTGATTTCGCTCTTTCTTAACAATTTTGATAAATTTCTTTGCGCTTTTGGTATTCGATCAATAAGAATTGAGGATCTGAGATTTCCGGAATCAAAAAAATTAATTTTTGTCAGGCAGACGCCAATTCAAAATGACGGGTTATCCGACAAAGATGACTTCGGATGTGAGGAAACTGATTGAAGAGGGCTGAGAATAATATAGAAATATTGAATTTGCAAATGACTAATGAAGGAGAAGATTGGGCGGTGGTCAATGTCGCCGGTGGCAGCGGCAGCGACAACGGCGGTGGTTACAGTGTGAGGCGTATCTGGAGTCGGCTACCAAAGGGTTTCAAGCTTTTTGAGAAAATGGGAAATGACAAATTCACAGGAGGATATTTAAGTTATTTTATTTAAATCAATTTTGACTTTTGTGAAACTGGACTATTTTTTTTGGATAAGATTTTTTATTAAACTGGATTATTTTTGTGGGACGGAGAGAGTATTTCAATTAATTCAATGGTGATTAACAGAAGTAGAAGTACTTGCTTTCTCGGCAAAGTTACATAAGAAAACAAGAAGGCCAATCTAATTTGTCCTGAGGGGTTGCTGAAACTTGGAACACCATAAGAAGACAATATATATGATTCACTATAGGTTGTTAATTGTAATCAAACTTCAAAGTCACAAGCTCAACACTCTGCAGTGTTTCTTTGCATTATTTTATGGTCGATTGATGGTAGCTTTGACTGAATTAAATTATTTACTATTTATATGATAAGTAGATATCCTGTACAAAAATTTTTGCTTCTTTAATTCAATGCAAGAAGTGCAATACTGTAACGATCCTATTCGAGTCGGATCAAACTCCATAAAATAGAGGGAGGCAGAGTTCTGACTAAAAAGTCATTTTTTTCATTAATTCTTTCTTCTTTTCAAAATACAGGATTACAACATATAAATAGAGACTCCAACACTAAGATTAAGAAATACAACGTGACTAACTCTTATTAGATAACTACCCACTAATTAAAATACAGTAAAATATAATTAAACAACGTGACTTCATCCTATTTTTACCTTATTACTAATGTTGGCATTACATTACTCCCTCTCTCGGACTTTGTCCTCAAAGTCCAAAGTTTGGCAGGCCCATTTTGTGGAGAATTCCACGTTAGAATGCTTTTCATCTTGGAGATCCAAAGTCCAAATTCTTGCTCTTTCCAGTTTCTTCAACGTAAGCATCCAAACCAAAATGATGGCTAGAACTGGCAGATAGTTACAACGAACGTTGGGGGTGTTGTTGAAGCCTTGGAACATGGTAGATGAGGCGGATCCATCGATGTTAGGGCAATTGGCCAAAGATCCTTAAAGGTGCTGGGAATTTTTTTCAATAGGCGCTGCGATCAACAGGCCCGGATCATACAGGAAAACGGAGATGGCGTGTTTTATGGGCGATGGGATGGGTGCTGCTTTTTCAATTAAGGATGGTTTTGGAGTTATTTGGGCACATGTGATGGTGTTTGAAATTGTTGGAATGGTAATGGATTTGGGCTTTGGTTGCTAAATTGGTTTGGGGAGGGGAGTTGCCGATGTTGTGGCAGTGAAGGGGTAAATGGTTGCTGGTGTTGCAGTGAGGAATTTTGGTGGTGTTGTTTTCTTCAAAACAATAACTTGTGGCAGAGGTGGGGTGGTTGGTGGTGAAGGGTTTAAAGCAGCGACGAGAGAGGTGATTTGGAGGCCATAGACGGTGGTGCCGGGTTAGCTGGAGCTGCAGCAGTGATGTTGGTGATTGTTGGCGTCGGATGCATTATGGTCAGTGCAACACTGATGGATGGTGTTGGTGTAACCGAAAGAGGCAGAGGTGAAAGGGCGTCTACTCGGTCGGTGAGATTCTGAATCATGGTTGACAGAGATTCAAGTTTAGATAGAATTTGTTGATTGATATTCTTCTATCGAACTTGTTGAACTTGAATATCTTTGATACTTTCATAAAGATGGGTTGTTAATTCATCCATAGAAGTCATGATGACTCTCAAAAGAGAAAAAAATCTCTCAACGAAAGCACCAATGTAACGATCTTATTCGAATCGGATCAAATTCCAGAAAATAGAGGGAGGCAGAGTTCTGGCTAAATAGCCATTTTTTTCATTAGTTTCTTCTTCTTTTAAAAATACAGGATTACAACATATAAATAGAGACTCCAACACTAAGATTAAGAAATACAACGTGTCTAACTCTTATAAGATAACTACCCACTAATTAAAATACAGTAAAATATAATGAAGCAACGTGACGTCATCCTAGTTTTACCTTATTACTAATGTTGGCATTACAAATACTATAATCAGAAGCATCCCAATTACCTCCAAGAGATCCGAGTTAATTCATTTGATTAATATGACTGTATCCTGGATACATTGCTAGAAGTTTCAGAATCATAAAAAGTTTGATTCTCGGTCACCTAATTAGATCTTTATCTCTCTCAAATGTTGCAATCTCACATGTTCTCCGATCTCCAGTCCAATTTGAAGCTAATAATCGAATATTCGATCTTGTTACCTTGTTCCCATTAGTAGCTTCAGAAATTCATCACAATTTGATGGTCTGGGGCAAACATCCCCATAAAACCTAGAAAGGTCCAACGTGAAGGCCTCTAGATCAAGGTTTTTCTTGTCGTACCTTATCAAAGTAGACAACATATTACATATGATTTAAGTCCTTTACTGTGATGGTATGGCCGACGCGAAAAATCAAAAACCAAATCAGGAAGTGTGCGCACGGCCCTTAACAACCGCTTTTTTTTGGTACATAAAAGGAGGCCAATGCCTATTTTAGATGATTACATTTCTCGGGTATGAGACCCCTACTACGTCTTAGCGAAGCCACTGGGTGACATACGCCGGGGGAGGGGGGTGGTGGTGGTTAGTTTCCTAACACCCCATTCCAGTTGATCTCAAGCCGCAGCAAGACAATTGGCTGCAAACTTTGCCTCCCTTGGGATATTCTTCAAACTCACGCTCCAATCCCTGTCCATTAATTCCCAAATTCCCTTAATCAGTCTATCATGAACACCGGTTTCATTAGATTGATTAGAACCCAGCCTTATTGCCGTACTACTATCCACCTCCACTATGATCTTTCTTGCCCCAATCTCCCATGCTAAGATGAGTCCTTGCCATACTCCCCACAACTCAGCCCCTGTTACTGTTGTAGTCCCAACGTTCATGGTAAAGCCTTTCACCCATCCTCCTTCTTCGTTCCTTATTAGTCCCCCTGCTCTCGCCTCCTGTGATATAGTATTGTAAGATCCATCTGTGTTCAACTTGAGCCATCCTGGTGGTGGGGGGTCCATTTGATAAGTTCTTGTCTTTTCACTCCATTGTTTCCCCCTAATTAGACCACAAATCTGGCAGCCTCCTCCAGTTCCTTCACCTTCTTCCTTATTTCCTCTATTCTTTTCCATACTGGGGAATCCACATTTGAGAAAACAAGCTCATTCCGCCATTGCCATATTTTCAAAATCATCACCCCAAATGTTGGTGCCCACTTCTCCCCCCACTGGTTTATTTGGCCTCAACAGATTCTTCGGAGCCCATTCCCAAAAATTCTCCTCATAAAAATCCCTATTGAGATTATCAATCAACAAGTGATCCCAAATCTGCCTTAAATTTGGACAATCCCAAAAGACATGAGTTATCGATTCTGGCTCCCACGCGCATCTCAGACATAACGGCGATGAGCCAATATGCCGTCGATGTCGTTCCATGTTAGTCATGAGCTTCCCTTTTGCTGCCAACCAAAGGCATGTCTTCACTCGTTCCGAGCCTGACCACGTCCAAATCGCCCTCCAAAGAGGTTCACAATTAGCAATTGAGTCTCCCTCCACCAATTGGTAGGCTGAGCTGGTATTGAATTGGCCACTGTCCGACGCCGGCCAACAACATGTATCCGGCCCTCTGTTAATGTTTGGTGGTAATGTGGATGCCACTTTCATCTGTTCCCTTGCCGGAAGTAGGTGCTGGAAAATTGCCCAATTCCATTGACCCTCCATCGTCGTGAACTGGCATGCCGGTGTATGTAAATGTTCTAACGGGATGGCTCCTACGGCAACCTCCTCCAGTGGTCTTGACCCGAGAGTCCAGAGGTCCTTCTAGAACCTTACCCTTTCTCCGTTATAGAGAGTCCAAAGAGCCCCTTTCATAAGTGGATTCCAGATCTTCGTGATGGACCAGCATATCATACAAGAGTTTGTCAGTGTTAAAGGCCCAAATCTAGGCCACCCAAAAGGCTCGTACTTCGCCTTGAAGACTTTGACCCACAATTTATCAGGCTGATTCATTAACATCCAACCAAGTTTCATCAAAAAGGCCTTGTTCATGGACTTAAGCTTTTTCAGGCCCAGCCCACCTTTGTCTTTTCCTTCACAAACATCCATCCAGCCCACAAGACTCACTTTTTGCTTTTCTTCATCGCCTCCCCGGAGAAACTGTGTAAACTACCTGCACAGTTTCTCGATCTCCTGGCAAGTTTTTGAAGGCATCATCATTGTTTGCATGCTGAAGAAAGGGAACGTTGAGAGCACTGACTTGATCAGAGATGCCATGCCTGCTAGAGAGAGGCTTGAGGGCCTGAAACCCCCCAACGTTGTGCGGACTTTATCAACTATCCCTGTAAAATTATTTTGCGATACCCTTCCATGAATAAGGGGGATACCAAGGTATTTTCCCAAGTCGTTCACCCGCTGAAACCAAGCTTCCTGGCAATCAACACTTGTTTCTGGCGGTCAACATTCTTGGAAAAGATAATACGAGTTTTTGGCTCGCTAATTTTCATTCCGGATGCCGCACAAAACTCTTGAAGAACCGACTTCATCATCATGGCTTGATTCTCCGTAGCTTCTAGGAATAGCATCCAGTCATCCGCGAAAAGGAGGTAGGGGAGTCTCTTTTTAGATCTTTCGAAACAAAGTGGCTACCATCCTCCTTCTTCCACCTTTTTCATTATGGCATGGGCTAATCTCTCTATACATAAACAAACAAGTAAGGGAACATTGGGTCTCCTTGTCGGATTCCCCGAGTGGATCGGAATTCATTTGACACCCTTCCATTCCATTGAATACACATCGAGGCTGAGGAAATGCAATTCATCACGCCCTTCACTATCAATTCGGGAGATCCAGCTTGTGTAATAGTATCTTCGATAAAATCCCATTTGATCATATCGTAGGCTTTCTCAAGATCTATCTTCAAAGCCATGAATCCCCTTTTCCCGGTCTTCGTCCTCATCGTGTGGATAGCTTCTTGAGCTATAATAATATTGTCAGAAATTAACTTCCCCGGAATGAAGCTTGCTCGTGTTGGTCCGATGAGCTCCGGTAACACTAGCTTGATACGGTTTGCAAGGACCTTGGTTATAAGCTTATACACCACATTGCACAAGCTTATTGGGCGGAATTGGCATATGGTTTCCGGGTTTTCCTCTTTCGGGATTAATATGACCAGCATCCGGTTAATTTCCTCCACACTCCTGCCCCCATTCAGTACTTGTTTGATCAATTTACGCACTGAAATGCCCGACTAACACCCATTTCTGTTGGAAGAACATCGCGTGGAGCCCATTCGGACCCAACGCTTTCATTGGAGCCATCTCTTTAAGGGCCTATACAATTTCTTTCTCCTGGATTTCCCTCTGCATATGTTGGACATCAGCATTTTGAATCATGGGGAAGCAATCCTTCACCGAGTATGGGCTAGTCACTGAAATCGGTGCCGCATAAAGTGAGGTGAAGAATTGAATTGTCATCTGTTGTAGTCTCCCCTGGTCTTTTAATATGACACCGTCATCAATTTTGAGGGCCACAACTCGATTCCTCTTTCTTCTACGTTTAACAAAGGAATGGTAAAACTTGGATTTCCTGTCGCCATAGAGGTTCCACTCCCTACATGATTTTTGAATCAACAAAACTTCTTCTTGCATCAAGATTTCATCCAACTCCTTTTCTAACATTTCTTCCACCCACTCAAGTTTAGCAGAGTTGTACACCTCCCTGGCTCTTTGGATTCCACCAAGATGCACCAGGATTCGTCGTTTGCGGTTGAAGATGTTGCCAAATACATTATAGTTCCACTTCTCTGCTTCCCTAGCAAATTCTTCCGCCGCCTGTACAAAATCAGAATCATGTGGCCACTTATCTGGAACAAACGAATCAAATTCATTGTGCAATAGCCGTGATGCAATGAACTTGATTACGAGCACCCTGGCCCTTGCATCGCACCATCAACAACCAATGATCTGAACACCTCTTTGGGAGATGAATTGTCACCGACTCCGGAAATGTTTCCAGCCAGTTGCCGTTACAAAGAAAGCGGTCCAACTTCTTTAGAAGGTCCCCCCACTTCCAAGTGAACTTCGTCCCAATTGTCGGCAGCTCTAACATTTCCGTTTGAGCTACCCAATCCACAAACCAGCTACAAGCTCCTCTTCCATTCACTGCTCCACCTTTTCTCTCCGAATCCCGTAGGATACAATTCAAATCCCCCCTAATAACCATGGCTCCTCTACTCCTTCAGCTATTCTTAATAATTCTCCCCATAACCCCCTTCGAACACTGTACGTAGGGCTGGCGTACACGAAGGTCACCAAAAAGGTTTCAGTCCCTCTCCTTACCTTAGTATGTACAAATTGCTTCTGACATTCTAACACTTCCACCTTCAAATGGTCTTTCTATAAGACCCAGATACCTCCGGAATATCCATTTGCCTCAACTCTAAAGGAGCGATCAAATCGACTTTTCCGAATGAAATTATCTGCATCTCCGCCACTGATTCTTGGTTCCAGTAACACCAGAATATCCGGCCGATTCAAATCAATCATCAAATCAAACGTCTCCTTAAACTTCTTTGAGCGTGCACCCTGCACATTTCATGAAAAAATTGTTGTATTCATTAATAAACAATTATTTATGTAAGAAACACACCTTAACAATTCCCAGAAACTGCCGCTTTCGCGACAGAATCTTCCTCCATCTGGCATCGGCTGTCCGGCGGATCCGTACCCTCCAACAGCTCCAGTTCACCTACTGTCATGGGTTGGACTCCATGAGGATCAGGGGGAATATCCTCCTCCACTGGGATACCCTGCACTTGGTCCTCCTCCATCAAATTACTCCGATGTCTCCCTGGGTTTGTTTTAGAGAAAGAAGAAGTAGAAGGCTCAATCGAGACTGCATTGTGTCTTGTTGGATCGAGGGTGGATGGGGCTGGGGTTACATTGGGTCCGAGGTTTGCTATACAGTCTGTTTGTGGGCTAGAGGGTTTTTGGGTTGTCTTTCTTGGGTCAATAGATTCTGAGCCCGATCTAGTTTGGTCTTTAGGGATGGCAGTGGTTTTGGGCTTGGCTATTTGGGTTGTCTGGGCTATGTGGGCTGTTTAGTCAGTAGTGATATTGACAAGTTGGTCCGGGTATTGAATATTTCGGTGGGCTATTTTACTTATATGCTCTAAGGGTTCCATCATTTTCCATTCTTGACCTCTTGATAGCCTTTTGCGTGATCTGGATTTTCTCGCCCCCAAGACTGAAGGTGTTAGAGCAGACGCAACTTCTTTCCCCTTTTTCCAATCTGCTCCATTCCCATCAGTCCTGCTGGAATTTGTCGGGGCTTCACCATTTTCTTCGACTAGTCCCTGTAGCACATCAAACTTTGAGACTTGGCCAAAATCACTCATGGAATCTTTGCTCACATGGGTCGGGGCCACTTGAGTTTTGGACTTTCCTCTCGGTGGAACTGGGACCCATTTCCCTTAGGTTTTGCTCCCCTGCTTCAATCCATTGCTCCATGTCTCCGGCACCGGCGATGTCGCTGTACTTTCATCCCTATAAGGTGGATCCGCTATTTTCGGTGGTTGGGGAGTGATATACGGACAATTCCCAGCTTGGTGGCCTATTCTACTACAGGAGGCACACAAAGGTGGAACATTCTCATATTTAACCACCTGCTTCCGTCCATGCATTTCCACCTTTGTAATCAAGGGCTGGTCCAAATCAATTTCTACCGCCATCCTTGGAAATCTCCCCCATGTTTTTGCTGTTGTTTGCTGGTCAATTCTTACCACCCTACCCGGTGCTCTGCCCACCCTTCTCAGAAAAGATTGGTTGTAGTAGTGCACTGGTAAACCCGGGAGTTTTGCCCAAATGATTGTAGATTTCACCAATTTGGTTGTCGGATCAAATTGATTGTTCCAGACCTCCACATGAAGGTATGTATGTAGGATTACCCAAGGGCCCTCATTCAAAACCCTCTCCATATCCTCTCTGCTACGGAATTTGACCAAGAAGAAATCCCTCACTTGATCCATGATAGCAATGTAGTCCGTTATCTGCCATAGGTCTGGCAATCGGTGACATAATGTTTGTAAGGTAATTGATCTTCCCATCGGACGGAGAACAATCATGTCTTTCCACTGGTCCATCAACATTTTTCTCCATCCTATCCGATATTTCCACTTTAGCCGTCGATCCATTCTCGGAAAGGATTACATCCTCTTCCTGGATATCTAATTCCTCCTCCACCTCAAACAACAAATAATCGAGGCCCCTCATGATTTTGTCCCTGAAGTTCATCGGCGTGGGTGATGGATTTTCTCCTCCTCCATATTTTGGCTTCTTTGTTGACCGATTATCAAGGGGAGTATGTTCTTTGGTTGTCTGGTTGCGTTCTGGTGGTGTATTTGGGATAGGCTGTGGTTGGGTAGTTCCGCCGTCGTCAGGAACGAAGTTAGGTAGAGGAAAACTCATTTTGGTAGAGAGCACTTTTTCTAGTGAGAGAAACTTTTTAACGCTTTAAAATCCTGACCTTTTGGTATTTTGGTAGAATTTGCACTTTTTAACGCTTTTTAACGCTTTAACAACTGCTTTGATATGCCACTCAATTGAAATGCTTGTTTGGATTCTAAATTGGAACAATTCGAGTTCTACGATGACCTTAAATTTTACTCTCTCAGTTCCAAAACTATTGTTCAGTCTGTATTTTCATTTTTAGTACAAATTCTATTAAAAATGAAATCTCAATCTAGACAATAATTTCATGATAAAGGAAGTACAAGAATTCAGAGTTTCTGATCAATGACACTAAGATAAAAAATAACTATATCAAACTAAATTAATTAGTTTAAATCCTAATAAAGATTGAGATTAGACCTGGTAATTGGGCAGGTTGGGTCGAGATGGGTTTGGGGATAGGCGGGTCATGACCCATCCCAATCAGCATTAGCATGGATCAATAACGGGTTGGGTCATGAATGGGTTGCGCGGGTCCAGTTCAACCTGCGGGTCAACTTCAACAATTAAAGTTAGTATAAAATTTTGACTCGTACGGTTTTGATTGACCTGCGGGTCAGGACCTTTTTTCCCCTTATTTTATTGAGCTAGTAATTTATGAATAAAATATTTAAAATTTCTAGACAAACAACATACAATAATTTTTAAAATTAAAATTTTTCAACTTACATTTGTAGTATCTGTCTCATTGGAATTCAGATTTTCATGATTCGAGCAAAGTTTAAATGGGTTGACCAAAAAAAATGATCACGATATGCATATCAAATTTGGATTTTTGTTCAAATAAAATGTGAAATTGTATTGTCTGACTCATTGAACTTCATATTTTCACGTTTTGAGTACGTTTAATTGGGTCAACTCATGAAACGGATCTCGGTAGGCAGATCGAATTTATATTTTTGTTCAAATGAAATGTACAATTGTATATATGACTCATTGGAATTCAGATTTTCATGTTTCGAACAAAGTTTAACTGGTTCCACCCATGGGTCGAGTTGGGTCGACCCAAAAATCGGATCACGATATATAGGTCAAATTTAATTTTTTGTTCAAATAATATCTGCACGTGTATATTATAACTCATTGGACTTCACATTTTAAGGTTTCGAGCGAATTTTAACTGGTCGACCATGGATCGAGTTGGGTCAACCCATGAACCGGGTCAAGATACGCAATTCGAATTTAATTTTTTATAGCGTAAACTTGTAGTTTATAATTAATTAAACTTATTTATGTACATATTACATGGGTTTCTTCGACAAATCTATCACTTCCGTTTTAGAAGTATATCCTATTTTGTTGTATAGTCTAGTATATTTGGGACCTTGTCCTTTCATCTTTTTTTTTTTTCTAAACTACATTTTATTATTATATTTTTAATCAAGTACTTGTCCCAAATGATATTCTTCCTTATTGCAACTTTATGTGTATAATACTCCAATTTAGAAGATTTGGTTTTAGGATAAGAAATCACTGATCAATTCAGTCAACTTTTAAGGAAACTTCTTCAATGATGAATTTGCTCAAATCCTGTTCGAGCATGTTTTCTTCAGAGTCTTCATTTTCATCTTCAACAGAATCTGCAGTCAGTTTTGAGGCCTCCTTGCTCCACCAACCAGTCCGACTCCACCAACTTCCTGTTTTCTAAATATTTCTTCTTCGGTTTCTGTCTTTTAGTTTTAATTTCATGGCCTCCTTGCTTTTTTTTTGCTGATCAGTCATGACTCGCTCGACGGATTCTCTGTCTCCACTCCTGTCGGCCAAACCGCGACCGAAAACCAAACAGCAAACCCTCTACCAATCAGCCCGGCTCCCTTGTCTCATCCGGCTGTTAACCTATCAAATATCAAAAACTATGTTAATCCTGTTCTTGATTTCACAAACTACATGTTATGGAAGGAGTTGTTCCTTCTAGTTTTTCGTGGCCATGGTGTTACGGGCCACATCGACGGTACTTCCCTCTGTCCGCCGTCGACTTTACCTGCTACAGATGGCTCTTCCTCCTCCGTCCCAAATCCTGCTTTTCAAACTTAGCTTGATTCCATAGTCCTTTCTTGGATTCAAGCAACCGTTTCCACCGACATTTTCTAAGCCATTGTTAAACCCAATTCCACTCTCACTGCTCGTGACGCATGGTTAACTATTGAAAACTTTTTCATGATCAACTTGCCTCGCGTCTCCTTCAATTAAAACTTCAGTTTCATAGTCAAAAGAAGGGAGATTTGACCATCAATGACTATGTTACCAAACTCAAAACTCTTAGCCGACTCTATAACAGCTGTTGGTTGCCCGATTTCGGACACCGACTTTGTTCTTCAAATTCTTGCTGGCCTTCCTTTGAAGTATCAATCTGTTTGGACCACGCTCAGCCATAAAGTCCCGTTACCAACTTTTATTGAAGCCCGTTCCATGCTATTTTTGCACGAAGTGCAACTCCAAAACAATGCCCCCGCATCTCTTCCGCGGCGACTCCAGCATTAGTTGCTGCTTCCTCCACAACATCCACTCCTCAGTCTGCCTCTCAACCCTTCTCTAACATTCGCGGTCGTGATCGGGGACGGTTTCAAAATTTTCGGGGACGCGTCCGTGGACGTGGCCGTTTCTGGTCAGTATTAATCTTTGTTTTATCCTCCTTATTTAATTAACCTTCTGTCTTGACAGATGCAGATCGAGACTCTGATGTCTCATACCTGAGTGCCGGCGATAAGTCCGACGCTACGGAGGTCCATCGTCCGCTGCTGCAAGTCGGCAGCCGTCACATCCGTCACCACCATCAAACCAACCAAACCAGCTTTGCGGCCATTCCCAAAGTCGGACCTCAGGCTCCATGTTACACAGCCGCTTCGTCGGCCAACTCTCAGAAACCGGTCCGCCGGTCCTCAATACCCAGTGAGCCAGTACGTATCGGTTCGCCGGTCTGGGTTACAAATAAACCAAATTGGTTTATACGGTTATTTCATATGTTTGGTTCAGGTTCGGATTCGGATTAATTATATTTTAGTGACTCTTTTTGGAATTAACAGTGTTCAATTTCCCTGTATATCACTCACAGATTTGGATTCTCCATATGCCCACTAAACGCGGCAGTTCAGATCTGTGATCCGAAAGAAGTAAATCACGATGACAGGAAATTTAGCATGTAGTTTTTTTTTATTGAGTTACTAAAAAAATAAATCTGAAAAGCCCGAAAAATACCGGACATTAGACATAATTTTGCATAGGTCCAATTAGGTCTCTTTAAAAGTATCAGTAAATTTACTGATATTTAAATCTCCGTCTTTTTTACGGTCTCTTGTACAGGGTAAGTCTTAAGCACTGTCCTGAAAAATATTTCTGGTTATGTTTAAATTTCCCATGTACTCGCCTGGTTTAATTAATAAAGAAATTATCAATTAATTAAAAATGATTCGAAAAGATAACCTAGATATCAATTAACCCTACTTTTAGGCACGTAACTAATTTTGCATTATTTTACTTAATTAAAACCACTAATTTGATAGTATATTTTAAAAATATATATTCAAAGTGATATCATTAGCGTCATGGATTAACCGTGTAAATTTTGTAAAAAAACATATTTACCTTTTTCGAACAAAATGAAAACATTGTTATGCCCAAAATTTGTAAGCACATTGTTCCATATCCAGAACAAGGTCTGCTTTTCCATTGCAGGCCACATGATCATAAATGTCATGCCCAAAATTTGCTTTCAGTTCTAAAGGTGATACCATTCCATCTGCATCTTGATCGTCTACATAAAGTCACTAGCACACTAGCAACAATACCGGAAGAATATGAGACAGTTTACGTGTTTGTTAGGACAGCCGACATTCTCCTTTTCAGCCTTAATTTTCAACTCTTTCAGAAGTACACTTCCACGTTGATTTAGCTGTATTTCATGTTAAATTGCGGTGCGATTTGCCAAACAAACAATGAATCCATGTTCCCATGTTATAGCCGCTAAGAAGATTTTATGTATATTGATTTATGAATAAAATAATAGTCCAAAGAATAAATCAAGATTATGATAAGAGATTATACAGATAATAACATGTTCAGACTATCTTAATAATACTTTTACACGTAATATATAAGCCTCCAAAAAATATCAACCATCCACCATTCTTCCGCTCTTCAATTCTTCAAAGTTAGATTGCCGGCTGGTGAAAGATCACCAAAAATCACAGCCAAATCCAGACTGCGTTGCACCAGTCATTCAAACTCGGAAACCATACCGGAAGAACTCTGGCCTCCTCAGTTGTTGCAGTAAGTGAAATCCGAATCAGTAACATTTCTCCAAGAACAGGAAACAGGAATAGACAAAGAATATATAGAGCAAACTCTTCAAGTGTATGTACAATTAGCATTCTTTAGCAAGATGGGGGAGTTGAGCTTTTTGGGATCGAAGGTAAATGCACAGTCGATCTCCTTATTAAACTTTGGCTTCACCAATTTACCCAGGACATAAGCTCTTGACTTTACCACAAAGTTCAATCTCAATTGGACTGGCAGAGCTGGAGCTCCAGTTTGTGTGCTTAAACCAGCTCCACTTCCATACATAGGAATCTTATCCCCTATCACTGATGCAGTCACAAGCCTCTGGCTCTTTCTTCTCTGATGAAATTCCTTCAGCTGTCAAAAATCCCCAGTGACAATGAGCAACTGAAAACATAGAATGAAAATCAGGATCTAGAAAAAAAAAAAACATTCGATTTGTGGGACTTACTGATCCAGAACCAATTGTGAGGTCCGAATATGATATATCAATCGGGCTTGATGTAACGTGAACAGCGAAAAATGTAGCAGTGTTGCGGAAAGTGAACTTAAGTGTGGCGTTCAGCGAAATCATATCAGTCGCCACTCCACTGGTATCTGAACCAGCTTGAACCACGAATCTCTCAAAAGTAATACTCTGTCAACACAGTTTAACACCAGAGCACATAAAGACCTCGTCTTTGACAGAAACATGTGCTCGAAATTATACTCTTAGCGGAGGAAATTCAAACAAAATCAAGGATCAATGCAGCTTATTCTAAAGACCAAGAGATACCCAGCATCACAATTCACATCAAATTGGCTACTAAAGTGCAATTCAGTTGTAGTCAACATCGCCCACTAAAAAGTACTTAATTCGTTAAGCAGAGGAAACTACATTTAGGTATTTTGTTCTAGATTTTTCATAATTGATCAGTTTAACCCTCATCAACATTCAACAATCCGAATAACAAACTTTAATCTAAATATGTATACAAGTAAGCAAGAATTGCAGACAAAATTGAGAATTCTAACAGACAAAAAGTTCATAGTGGCTTAGCTCCGTTTCAGTATATGAAGTGAAAAAGACATCAGTTTCAGCAAAAATCAATCTAATGAAACGAAATTCCACCAAAAACAAAAGCAAGATAATGACATTTAGACAAAATAGCACTAACCCTCATGACGATCTTGGGCTTCTGCGGTTTGGCAGCACCCCACAATATAAGTGCAAAGAGTGAGAAAAGCACAAAAAATCCCAAAACAAAAATAAGGAAATAGCATCGCCTAGGAAGAGATTTCCCCCTCTCCCCATCTTCAAGCAGCCCTTCCTCTTCAATCACATCACATTCTTTCCAACCCTTTTGCCCTTTCCCACCAGGAAGCCGATTCGAACCCGATCCGGCATCATTCGGGTTGATCTTCCTCGATCCGGGCTTCAATGAGCCGGAGAATCGGCTGGTGGAGGATTCCCTAGAGTGGCGGCCGACGGAGGACTGAGAGTGAGGCGGAGAGCCATTGGGGCTGAGCACTGGGGTGGAATGAAACGACATGGTAGTCGTCTTCTCTCCATCGTGTGAATCCCGGGAAGGGCTCTGAACGTAGTACACCGGCCGGCGGCTGTGGTCCGGTGAAGATGGGGCTAAACTGGTAACTTCTGAATCCGTTTTCGCGTGCATTTTTTCTTCGATTTCAGATCTTCAATCTCCTCAATAGGAAAGAACAAAGAAGCAGAAGAGTCAGCAAAATGAGGCTTTCTTCTTTTTCTGGGCTAAATGAGCTCAAAAGGAAAGCTGCCAGCGGTTTATGAAAAGAAGAGGGGTTTTACAGTGGGATTCTTTTCTTTTTCAACTTGTTTTATTTACTGTGAATTCTTTTTAGTTAATTAAATTGAGGTTTAGGAATTAAAAACGAGGTTTGTTTTTGTACAGGAATTTAAGCGGTTGGGTTTACAAAGGTAACGATGGGCTGTCAGAAATTGGAATGGGAATTATGGGAAGAAGAAGAAGAAGAAGGTTCAGACAGCTGCATTACAGTTGGCAACTCTCACTTCTGTAGACTACTAAGCTAGCACTAAATCATGGAAAATTAGCACCAACCCGGCAACAAAATATTCAAAAATTATTTTTTTGAGTCACTCTTTAATAGTCTTTGATAATAATAAAATTATAATGTTTTACTTCCATAAAATAAAATATGACAAGGGGACAGAAGGAGTATTGTGATTATGCGTATGTGTCATATTTTCATCAGATAATTTTAATTACTAGTTAATTGGTAGTATTTCTTCCTTTCTAAAAAAAATAATTTATTTGATATAGTAATATTTTAGTTTAACATAATGAATTAGCCCTAGTTTTCTGTGAGGAGATAATAGTATATTAGTGTTCGTAAACAGTATTATTATTTTTTAAAAAAAAATAGAAATTAATATAGTAGTGGCATTAATACTGGATTGTTTATTCCATCCCCAATATCAATTTGATGAAAATTCATCAAAACGTATTAAGTTCAATTTAGTAAAATAATATTTACGTGTTAAAATTACCCATATTTTTCCAATTAAACTACATATATGTTAAGTTTATTTTAGTAAAAAATATTTATCATAACACTTGCCCTCATTTAATTTTGAGAAGAATAGGCAAATTTTGTTGACTCCATGTAGTAAACATCGAGGCAACAGGTTCTAAGCCAACAGGTAAAAATTAAACCGATAGCTCAAAAATACATTTTCTTTTAAACAAAAGAAAAGAAAATAAATGTTCATTGGAGTTTAGTTTATTGTTAAGTACACCATTCACTTTTTTCCCCCTAATATTAAAACGTATAGGAAAAAGTAGTAGGGTGTAAATCAACCTCTAAAGAGAAATTTTTCATTACAACGTTTGTTTTTCTCCATTTTTTTTTTTAAAAAAACAACAATCAAAGGAGTATTCGTTTAAAATCACCAAACTATTATCATATTCATTGAGTAGAGTTTCCCGGTTAAATCATGTTCGAAAATCACTTTTGAGTTTTAGTTTCACGGCCGGTATTCTGGAGATTTACATACAAGAAACAGGTAGAGTGTAGGATGGGGCGAGTCCACTGCAAAACATGTGAAACCATGTGAATGAAATTATGGAGAAAAAAAATTGAACTTAAAAATTACGCAATTATGCGTGCTTCATTTATGTATACTTTACGCAGACACTGTATTTGTAGTATTTTCCAACTCACTTCCTCCAAAGTCTTTTTCTAGAATCATTGTCGGTGCAGAGTCCGAAAACATCCTTTGCGAGTGACGAACCTTATACCTAAAGCAAAATTGTCCGATCACACCACCAATGAGGGCCTATTACATTTTTGTTCTCTTAATTTTTGTTGAGTGGACCCCCAACTATGTGTCCAATGTTATGGACAAATAGCCCATGTTTCTGGCCCAAGTTCTTGTTATGTTATCAACCTACTTTAAGTCCACTATAAGAGATTAAAATGCAGCCAAAATAGAAGTCTGTGTGAGCAGCCATTTACAGGAAAACAGAACCAAAAGAGAGATAGAGAGCAGAATTTTCTAGCAAGGGTTTCACTGTAGCAGCGTATGAATTCTTCAACAAGTTTGGAGGGGCAATCTTTGTCCGTTGGTCCTGAAAGTTGGACTGGAGATACAAGACTCATCGATGTTCATTTCCACTAAAGGCTTTTGGTGTGCATCGGATAGATTGTGAGTATTGTGTTTTTTGAAGTTGCTGCTGGTTTTGTGGATGTTTAGTTGATCTTTTGATTTTGTATTGATATTCTAGTGCCTTTGTAGCTTGGTTTAGCTTCGGTGAGCATTAGATATCTTTGTTGTATTGTTGAATTGGTGTACTCCTACTCTTATTTGGTGATTAATGGATTTGATAGGTCTTTTAGTCTCGTGGTTTTTACTCCTTCACACCGAAGGGGGTTTTCCACGTAACTTGGTGTTCTGTGTTGTTTTGCTTTCTTGCTGTTTTATTGGTAGCTTTACTTTCACTTGGTGTTGGTATTTTTTGCTCCTACTAGATTCTTGCAAATTGGGGAGGCCTTGGTTTGTTTCCGCTATGCATAAGCTAGCTCGTGTTTGATTACCTAGTTTGGTTTGCCATATTTGGTCCTCGCCTCCCAACAGAGTGGTATCAGAGCCACAGATTGGTGGCTTTGAGTTGATTTGCTTGAATTATGGAGGTTAAAATCATGGATGTTACTAGTAGTAAGATGGTATCTTTGACTGGTATGAATTATCACTCGTGGAAGGGTAAAATGCAAGATTTGTTGTTTGTTAAAAGTATGCATCTGCCTGTGTTTGGTTCCGGTAAGTCGGATTATAAAAGTGATGAAGAATGGAAGTTTGAGCATCAACAGGTGTGTGGCTTCATCAGAATGTGGGTAGATGACAACGTCAGGAATATTGTGGCAAATGAAACAAATGCAAAAGAACTCTGGTTGATACTTGAGAAGATGTATGCTTCTAAGACAGGTAATAACAAGTTGTATCTCTTGAAGCAGTTGATCAATTTGAAGTATGCCGAGGGTACACCTATCTCTAACCATGCGAATGAGTTTCAAGGTATGTTGGATCAATTGTCAAATATTGATGTTACATTTGAGGATGAGATACTTGGTTTATAGTTCCTGAATACTTTGCCCGACTCTTGGAAAACTTTTAGGGTCTCACATACAAATTTTGCTCCTAAAAATAAAATATTTTTTAATTATGCTAAAAGTGGAATCCTCAATGAGGAGATTAGAAGAAGAACTCAGGGGGTGTCATCTCAGACTGAGGTCTTGGTTACAGAGTAGAGGGGGAGACAGCAAAGTAGAGGGCATAGCAACAGGAAAAAGAGTAGAAGCAAGTCCAAATGGAAACACAAAAATATGGAGTGCTATTTTTGTAAAAAGTCTGGTCACATCAAGAGAGATTGTTTGATATGGAAAAGCAAAAAGGGGGCAGGGAGTAGCAATTCAGACAAGCCTGAAGAAAGTACTTCTGGTCGTGATGGCACAACTACTAGTGATGACCTTATCATTGTGTATAATGACGGTAATGTTAATTTAGTTACTTCTGATTCTACTTGGATTGGTGATTTAGGGGCTGCAGTCCATATTACTTCCAGAAGGGACTTTTTCAGCATTTACACTGCAGGTGATTTTGGTCAGGATGGGCAACAACGGTCTTGCCAAGGTTGTTGGCATTGGAAATGTTTATCTAAAGATGAACTATGACTCTACAGTGCTACTTAAAGAGGTAAAGCATGCTTCAAAAGTTCGGTTAAACTTGATCTCTATTGGAAGACTTGATGATGATGATTATGGCAACAATTTTTCTGGTAGAATATGGAAAATCAGTAAGGGGTCCATGATTTTGGCTAAGGGAACAAAATTGAAGGGAAACTTGTATATGTTGCCAACTTCAATTTTGGTTGACTCAGTTAATGTGGTGGATAAGGCATGTTTACCAGAGTTGTGGCATAGAAGATTAAGTCACATAAGTGCCAAGGGACTTAATGTATTGGTGAGGAAAAATGTTCTTCCTGAAGCTAGGGATTCTAGTTTTGATAAAATGCTCACATTGTCTTGAAGGGAAGCAGACCAGAGTATCCTTCAAGACTCATCCTCCTCATAGGTAGCCAAGCTTGTTAGACTTGGTACATTCAGATGTTTGTGGTCCTTTGAAGGTGAAGACACTTGGGGGTGCATCTTATTTTGTGACTTTCATTGATAATCATTCTAGGAAGCTTTGGGTCTATGCTTTGAAGACCAAAAATCAGGTGCTTGAGAAGTTCAAGGAATTTCAAGCTTTAGTTGAGAGGCAGACTGGAAGAAAGTTGAAATGCATCCGGACAGACGATGGTGGTGAATACCATGGACCATTTGAGGAGTATTGTAGGTAAGAGGGGATCAGACATCAGAAGACTCCACCCAAGATGCCTCAGTTGAATGGATTGGAAGAGAGAATGAACAGAACATTGATGGATCGGGTTCGATGCATGTTGTTGGAGTCTAAGCATCCTCAGTCATTTTGGGGTGAGGCTTTATATACCACTGCTTATGTTATTAATCTGACTCCTACAGTTGCTTTGCAGGGTAACGTTCCAGGAAATGTTTGGACAGGTAAAAACACCTCTTATGATCATTTGGGGATGTGGGTGCAAAGCTTATGTTCATGTTCCTAGAGATGAGAGGTCTAAGTTAGATGCCAAGGCTAGGCAGTGCATCTTCATTGCCTATGGTCAGGATGAGTTTGGTTACAAGTTGTATGATCCAATTGAGAAGGTCATACAGAGCCGTGATGTGGTGTTTTGTGAAGACCAGACCATAGAAGACATTGAGAAGGTAAAGAAGCCAGATTCTCATGTTGATGATGACCTCAAAGACATTGATCCAGAGCCCATACCACATGTGCCTACTACAGCTGGTGGTTCTACCAGTGACAATGAGATGCAGCATGATGATTTTGCTGATAGTCAGCAAGGTGAGAACTTGCATAATCCTGGAAATGATGATCCACAGGAACTCAGAAGGTCTACTAGAGAGGCAACGTTCTACTAGGTATTCCCGTGATGAGTATGTCCTTGTGACAGATGGGGGAGAACCTGAGTGCTTTGAAGAAGCCATGGAAGGTGTAGACAAGAAGGAGAGGTTTCATGCAATGGAAGATGAAATGAAATCCTTGCATGAGAATCACACTTTTGAGTTGGTGTCATTACCTAAGGGTAAGAGAGCTTTAAAGAATAGGTGGGTCTACAGACTGAACCAAGAAGAGAATACTTCCAAACCAAAGGTACAAGGCCAGATTGGTTGTGAAGGGTTTCAGTCAGAAGAAGGGTGTTGACTTTGATAAGATCTTTTCACCTGTTGTGAGGATGTCTTTAATCCGGACTGTGTTAGGGCTGGCTGCAAGCCTTGACTTAGAGGTTGAACAAATAGATGTGAAGACTGCATTTCTTCATGGTGATTTGCATGAAAAAATTTACATGGAGCAACCTGAAGGGTTCAAGGTGAAAGGCAAAGAGGGTTATGTGTGTAAGTTGAAGAAGAGCTTGTATGACTTGAAACAAGCTCCAAGGCAATGTTACAAGAAGTTTGAGTTTGTGATGAGGCAGCAGGGCTACAAGAAGACTACTTTTGACCATTATGTATTTTTTCAGAAACTCTCCCATGAAGACTTTATCATTTTATTGCTTTATGTTGATGATATGCTTATTGTTGATCAGAATGCTTCTAGGATTAACAGGTTGAAGCAAGAGTTGAGCAAGTCCTTTGATATGGAGGATTTGGGGCCAGCAAAGAAGATCCTTGGAGTAAGCACTTCTAGAGACAGAAAAGCAAGGAAGTTATGGCTATCACAAGAGAGGTACATTGAGA